AGCAGGAAGACGCAGCTTTTGGCCGATGCAGTGAAAGAGTCGATCGACAAGAACTTGGAACCGATATTTCTCTCGGGAAGTTGAAGTAAAGAGCTCTCAAGATGTGTTGTCTGTGTCATGAAGTTCGTTCATATCCAATCAGAAGCACTGCTGCTGCTGTTGTTTGTTGTTGTTACTTAGCCTCGTGAGTTAAAGGAGTTCGGTTCTTTGGGCTGTATGTATGTATATATGTGCCTTTGAACAAAAATATGTCAATATTGACCAAAAAAAAAATGTCATTTACGATTTTGATTTTGTAATTAGAATCAATTTTGTTTTTCTGAAAAGAGTGCGGACGGTTTTCATTTTTTTTTTATTAAACCGGTTTTACAATTTCAATTTATTAATTCCAAGTCGGTTGATTGACTCTGAACCCGTCAATTATAAGATCTCGTTTTAGTGATGTGTCATGCTTATAATTATGTGGCAAAAATTAATGACATTCTGCCGTACCATATCTACGGTTGATAAAAACGGTTAAAATTTAACATTGTTTAAGTGTGTGCTGGAAATTGTTAGTAGTTTCCTGATATATTTTGAAATTGAGTGTAATTTTTTTTATCAAACTAAAATTTTGCGTACAATATTGACACATTCTTATAGAATTTATGTCAAAATGGGTTTGGATCGCGGAGACTCTCGAGTCGATCTATATTTTTTTCAATTAGGTTAAAAAAATTCGAAAAAAACTTTAGCTTATAAGACGGTTTGTTTGGCTCATGAACTAAGGTGAACCGTGATGAGTCAAGTAATTTTTGACTCGCCAAAAAACGGATTGGACTGGTATAGATTAAAAAAATATGATCTCATAAAAAAATTGTATTTGTGCATATCATATTTTATTTTTCAGTCTCTATTTTCTGCGGACTAACATTACCAATTCAAATATTTGAACAGAAATAGGGATAAAATACTTTCATATTATGGGTTTGTTTTGTATTTTGATTGGACTATATTTGAATTTTTTTAAATTTATTTATTTATTGAAATCTAGTTGTATTTTATTTGTATAAGAACTAAAATTTAAAAAAGATTATTTTTATTTAACTTTTATATTGCTTTTATATTAAATTCGAATTAACTTTATTCGGTTTTAAAAACATCACAATCAATTAAAAAAAATCCTCGAATTAAAATTACAAATTCGTCGGTCCAATCCAATTCTTTAACATCTATATATATTTTTATTTAGTTTCCATAAATCAGTCAAAATATCCGCTTTCCACGACAGCAATATGTTCAAAATCAAACATTATTTATTAGTACTTTCATAATATTAGTCCACGCACTCAAGATGAGGTAGGTGGTAAAATTAGGACAAAGTTTTCTCTCAATTCAGATTCGAGTTTTCATCTGAAGAGAAACATTCATCTATACTTTTTCGATTTTTTTAAGAAATGTAGTTGGATTGAAAGTCTAATGAATTTTCGAATTATAAAAAAATATTAGTCCACCTAATAAGGTTCATGAAAAAAAAGTACATTGTCTATAAATAATGCTATTTAAAAAAAATAGAAGTGCAATGAATACAATAATATCGGGTTAGCAAATCGGATGTAGACCATTACTACTAAACTACATAAACATACATAACTTTGTCGTGTGTGTACTTTTAAATTAGTACATACTAATTATTTGATAGCTTTTTTAAATAGGATTTTACTAAATAGAAATATCATCTTAAAATTAAAAAATTATTTTTTATATCATAAACTATGTTTTTAGACTAAACCATAATATTTTTTTGATGAAATAAACCACAATATTTATATATGTTATGACAGATAATAACTGATAACTAGAAAAACTAAAACGATAACAGTTGAATAAGTAAGTGACTAATAAAATAAATCTCTCAAGAACATATATTCATCTCTATTTATGTACGACAAAGAAACCGAATTATGACTAAGCTCTTCACATGAATCTCTGATGGTTGCCAAGAACGAGAAGGATACCATAAAGTGAGAAAACAAGCAATTGTCACGATAAATTATAAATTAAAACGAATGTATTTTGTGATCGATAATTGAAGAGGTTAAATAGAAAACAAATTTATTTTGCGGTCCCTTTAGATAATTATTAATTTCATAATTTAAACTAAATAAGAAAAAATACTGTATAGGATTGACTCTATAATTTTTTTAGTAAAATCTTTAACCAGATCCTAAACTAAAAAATTCCGTTGCAAACTGGTACAGATTTTTATGATATTATTACAAAAGCTGAACTATGGTGGTATAATATTATGTAAAGATGGTTTATTTATTTATTTATTGGGAAAAAACTATATTTTAGATAGTAATCAATAAAGTTAGAAATTTTTTAAAATAATTTTAGAAAAATATAGTTTACAAAATATATAACAAAGACATGTGCTTTTTTAACCTCTTATTAAATTTCGTAGTAAATAAATTATGCGGATGAGCTGTGAATTTATAATATGTAATCCAAATAAAATAAACAAAACAAGATTAAAAGTAAATATTTTTGAAAAAATGGAAAAAGAAAAGGACAGAACAATTAAAGCGAAAGGTGAAGGTCACGTTTGTGGGAGAAGAGGTTTCCAAGATGTCTGAACAGTTATTATGGTTAAGTCTGATATGTTGTCTCTCTGACTCCCATTGTGAACCTTATGACTGCAATTATGAAACATCTTCCCACCCCCATTGGTTATTTTCATGCATTCGTGTTTTTTTTTCCTTTTATTTTCTTTAAAAAATCCATTGAACATAGTATTTTAAAGTTAAATCATTTGAATTCGATTGGAATGTAAAAATAATTGAAAAATTCAATGAAAATCAAACTATCTTTATAAAATAAATTAATGAGGATTGCATTAGTAAAGATCGAGTCAGAAATGAAACCTAACAAAACTCGAACTGATTGAAACCCTGTTTAAAAATGACTGCATATATAATAACCAATAACCATTATATATAAAACCTTACCAAAAAAATAAAATAAAATCTAACGTTACCCCTATTTATTGTAGCATGTATAGTAGCTAGGAACATTTGAAAGTTCCCCTACATTCAAAAATATGTTCAAGATTAGAAGATACAGCTCCCGTATATATATTTAATGAACAACATGCAATGATACCAAAAGCAAAACAAAAGGTAAAAAGAATAAATAATAATAAGCAGAAACTCAGAAAATGGCCAAGGATCATGTGAACTTGATCAGCTGTAACCCTCTCTCCTCATTTACTACACCACGTCTTCTCTTCTACACTATATATACGTATATATACAGATAGGTCACGCTATCAAATACTCGAAAACGTTCTTCTTGTTTCTAGAAACTTCTTCGAAGTCGCTGGTTCGTACGGAGGGTTTTCGGCTATGAAGAAGTTTCTCCACGCGTGTACGTTAATGCTGCTTTTCATCGTCTTCGTGGTCTTCTCCTCGTGTCCAACGGTCACCAACTGCATTCGCACTCCTCCACTCGAGTTAGGACATCCTTCCACTCGTGTCCAAACACACCACAACAAGGTAAGGACACGTACGTACGCCTTGTAATTATGTTTCTATTTTATTTTATTTCATTTGACTACGATACTCAAACACCGACATATTTTTATAACTGAAATTTCCAAACGATAAAAATTCAATAACTAAAAACCCTGCTGCAATTGGCTTTCAGGAAACAAAGGGGAAGAGAGGGGTAGAAATGGAAATGTACCCGTCGGGGTCGGGGTCGAGTTTGCCGGACTGTTCGTACGCGTGCGGTCCGTGTTCGCCGTGCAAGCGCGTGATGATCAGCTTCAAGTGCTCTGTCGCCGAATCATGCAGCGTCATCTACAGGTGCACGTGCAAAGGCAGATACTATCACGTGCCTTCCCGGGCTTGACAATCCTCACCGTCCGTTTTTTTTGGCTTTCCAATCGTAGGGTCTTAAATCATTTAAATTTAGTTGGCTAAAATTCGTACCAGTTTTCGCGACGAGGCCCTTGTACAATTTTTCGGAAATTAATTTGGGCTTTTTCGGACAATTTCTCCGAGAAAAAGACGAACTTTCAGAACAAATTTTTATTAAACAGCAAATGCTATTCACAATAAGGTTCCAATCAAAATTGGACCCATAACATCTCATATAGGCCCGAGACGAATATCCAGTTGCTTAGACCATTTCTAGTAACCAAATGATGGCGAAGATTAAGACAAATATACACATAAAATGTTTTTTTTTCTTTATCAAAAACTGACTCGTCTACGTATAAGATGTTATGGGCCTCTAATTATGTATATATATATGGCATTTATATGATTGTTAGTATATTCATTATTATTATTATTCCACGTATGGGCCGTTATGTGGGCCGCTTTGGGTTCCGAAGTGCAGAAATGACCTCACCATGGGTCTCTATCGGCCGTAAGACTGTCATGACACGCATTTTATTGTGCCTAAATTGTTCGAACCGATCGGCTGATGATCACACGGGACTCAAATGCACAAGACAAAGTGAATGCATCGGGGGCAACTATTTTATTATGGGGTATTTAATGATTTCATTTAAAAATTTATAAAACTTACAGGAGAATTAAAGTTTTTTAATTAATTAACTGGGGATATGTGACCCTTAATTGGGTACCTTGTAATTTAGGACTCTGGAAAAAAAAAATCCGATTTTTCGGTATTTTGAATCGATCTAAGATGAAAATCAAACACCTTTAAATGTTTAGATATTCGATCCGTGTCATGTTAATGGTATTTTTGTTGGTACAGAAGAAAGATTTATACATAAAAAAAAACTCTATTTGATTAACAATTTTATTACACAGGAAATGTGTTTACAAATTCAACTTTCTAATTTTATATGATCCCAAGGAAGGGTTGAAATTGGACCTCCTTTTGCTTTGTTCTCATTTCCATTAGTATCTTTATATTATGTCATATGTTAACTTGTATTTATCAATAAATAATAAGGTATATATTATGCATTCTAAAAGATTCCAATAATAATCAACTTTAGTCTTTTTTAACGCAACTGTGTTTTGAGTTACGTGGATGTAAATCATATTTTTTACACGAAAATTGTTTTTTCAAATATATTTTTAGTTGTGTTTTTATAGATGAAATTTTCTGAAATATATAGGGAAAAAAATGAGGTAATTTAGCTTTCTTAATCCAACAATGTCTTCTTCACGTAGATAAAGAACTTGGAAACTCATACAGTCAAAACGGAAACGGGTACAAAGTATTTGTCCCAACCCCAAGTTCGAATTCCAGAATGGGGAGGGAAACGAATATTTCAAAGCACATAACTTGCTCCCGGTCTGGAGATTAGTTTGGGCTTCGGTCCAGGACGTTCCGTCATAAAAAAAACTTGCCCTAACTTTTCTAACAAGTAACTGTGAGCATAAAAAAAATTTATGGACATGTAACCTTCTTCTCCACACGATTTTATTAATTTCTAATGCCAATTTTGAATTTGAAATTAGACTTTGAATTATTTTTCTTACTAATTTTTATAATCCTGCGTGATTAATGGTTTTCCCCAATATCATTTGCCCTTGACTTGTCAGAAGATTAGCACTAGACCATATGTCGAAATGTCCACATTGACTTCAAAGCAATTCATGTACGATATATATATATATATGTATATGTATTTGAATATTAAAATATGCAACTATTAACTAACATGTGCTTATAATTTTATATGATGGTTGACAACAGCAGAAAATACAGGCTTTTTTTTATAAAATATAAGTCAGAGATATTTTTGACAATTATAATAAGAATATTATCCACAAGGGTTGATAAATAATACAAAATAGACATTATGGTGAATAAATACAAAACAGAATAAATAACATTGGAAAACCATGGGGCAATTATATATATTTGATTGATGACGTGGAAGACCCGTCGTAGTTGCTTTCGCTCCCTTCCCACTTCACCTGCCTCTTCGTCTCCATTCATCAGAGACACGAGGAGAGAGGAATAGAAGGAAAGCAAGCTTCACAGGCTGCAAAAATGGCGGAGATACCATCTCTGTTGTTTCTTCTTCCTCTTCTTCTTTCTTATGTCTCTTTTTCTTCTTCTTCCACCATACGTCTAGGCTCTGTTCTCTACGCCTCCAATCCAGACCAGTCATGGTCGTCTTCAAATTCCGCTTTCTCCGTCTCCTTCGTTCCCACGGCTTCGTCTGGTTCCTTTCTCGCCGCTATCGTCTTCGCCGGGAATGTTTCCGTCTGGTCAGCCGGAACCGTTGACTCCGGCGGATCCCTCCGCCTTCTCCCATCCGGCTCCCTCCGCCTTCTCAACGGCTCCGGCGCTACAGTCTGGGATTCAGGAAGCGATCGTCTCGGTGTCGTTTCCGCGTCACTCGAAGATTCCGGCAACCTCGTTCTCCTTGACAACCGGAGCATCACCGTCTGGTCGTCCTTTGATCACCCGACGGATACGATCGTTCAGTTGCAGAATTTCACTGTCGGTAAGGTTCTCCGATCTGGTTCTTACTCGTTTCAACTTCTGGAGAGCGGGAATTTTACCCTTAGATGGAACAAGAGCATAATTTACTGGAATCAGGGGTTGAATTCGTCGCTCAATTCGAATTTATCGTCTCCGAGCTTCAGCTTGCAAACTAATGGAGTCGTGATGCTCTTCGGTTCCACTCTCCCTGGCGGAGTGCGTTTCATTTACAGTAGCGATTACGGCGAAGATGGTAACGCATTTAGGTTCTTGAGGTTAGATACTGATGGGAATTTGAGAATTTACAGTGCTGCGAGTAGCAATAGTGGGCCTGTGACTGTTCAATGGAATGCTGTTGGTGATCTGTGTCTTGTTTATGGATACTGTGGAAACTTCGGGATATGTAGTTACAACGATTCGAATCCGATCTGTTCGTGCCCTTCTCTGAATTTTGAGCCTGTTGATGTGAACGATACAAGAAAGGGATGCAAGAGAAAAGTGGAGCTTAGAGATTGTTCTGGCAATGCAACCATGCTAGGTTTGGATCAAACCAGGCTCCTGACGTACCTTCCTGACCCTAACTTAGAGCTTTTCTTCATGGGTAATTTGCCTTGTAGATCAAATTGCCTAGTAAGCAGTTCTTGTCTTGCATCTGTTTCGATGTCTGATGGATCAGGAATTTGTTGGCAGAAACATCCCGGTTCTTTCTTTACTGGCTACCAGACCTCCTCAATTTCGAGCACTTCTTATGTTAAGGTGTGTGGACCAGTATTGCCTAATCCGTCTTTGGGTGCAAGGAAGAGTGATGAAAACTCAAAAGTGCATTTATGGGTTCTTGCGGTTGTTGTCATAGCTGCTCTTTTAGGGTTAGTTGCAATAGAAGGAGGTTTGTGGTGGTGGTGCTGCAGAAATAGTACTCAGTTTGGAACTATGTCTGCTCACTACACTTTACTTGAGTATGCTTCTGGTGCGCCAGTGCAGTTTTCGTTTAAGGAGCTTCAGCGATGCACCAAAGGGTTCAAGGAAAAGCTCGGGGCCGGAGGTTTTGGCGCTGTGTATAAAGGCCTGCTCGCAAACAGAACTGCTGTTGCAGTGAAGCAGCTAGAAGGGATAGAGCAAGGAGAGAAGCAATTTAGAATGGAGGTTGCCACCATAAGCAGCACACACCATCTGAATCTGGTCAGGCTGATCGGTTTTTGCTCCGAGGGACGCCATAGGCTTCTCGTCTATGAGTTCATGAAAAACGGATCTCTTGATAACTGCCTTTTCACTTCGGATTCAGGCAAGTTGCTGACTTGGGAGTATCGGTTCAACATTGCCCTAGGAACTGCAAAGGGAATCACTTATCTCCACGAAGAGTGCCGGGACTGTATTGTTCACTGTGACATAAAACCCGAGAACATTCTCTTGGACGACAACTACACTGCCAAAGTCTCAGATTTTGGGCTGGCCAAGCTCTTGAACCCAAAGGACAACAGATACAGAAATCTGAGCAGTATCAGAGGAACCAGAGGCTATCTAGCTCCGGAATGGCTTGCAAATCATCCAATAACCGCAAAATCGGACGTCTACAGCTATGGAATGGTTCTACTAGAGATAGTTAGCGGAAGACGGAACTTTGACATCTCAGAGGAAGCAAACCGGAAGAAATTCTCGATCTGGGCTTACGAGGAATTCGAGAAGGGCAACACAGAAGCAATCCTTGACAAACGTTTACGCACTGATCAAACAGTCGATATGGAACAAGTGAAAAGAATGGTCCAGGCCAGCTTCTGGTGCACACAAGAGAAGCCGACACAGAGACCAACCATGGGGAAAGTGGTTCAGATGTTAGAAGGAATCACGGAGATAACCAAACCGCCGGCTCCAAAGGCTTTACGTGAAGTACCAGTTGCAGGGCACAGCTTAAACTCGAGCACCGTTTCAACGTTGGGGGCATCGGCTCCCCCGGTTCCTTCTTCTTCATCATCTTCTTCTGCCACGGTGTCGTCTCATACCGGAGGAGGGTCATCTTCCATGGTGGTCACTAGGAAGAACAATGAAGGTACTTCTTCTTTGCTGAGATCAGAATTCTCGAAGAAGAGTGTGTCTTCTTTATACTGATTGGCTTAAAGTTGAAGAAGCTTTATGAGAAGCTACTAAAAGCTTTGTTACTTTACACTTGGATCATTCTTTTTGCTATACGATTGTGTATATATTTGTAGTGTAACTATAAAAAAAGAAGAAGATGTATTTGTTTGGTAATAAGATCATCATAGATCATAAAATGCTCTGTGAAGAAACGTTGCTCAACAGTTCAGTGTATTTATATTTCATTTACGATGCAAAATAAAAAGATTTATTCGAATTAGATGTTATTTTTTTCCTTCTAAAATTTGGAGCAATTTGAGATTTTATTATTTATTTATTTGTTTGTTTGTTTGTTGCTTGACCAAAAGGAGGGTTTAAGAATACAAACTAACAATCACCAATAGAACAATGCAATTCAAAGTTTTGGATATTAATCCACCAAAGAGGTTGGACAGCGATGAAAACTCGACCTTTTCAAGTATCCCACGATGGTTACGATGCTGAAGTTCCACGGTCGCAACCGCTAATTGTCGCGTTTTCGTGTCGGAAAATTTTTTAATCGGTACGGAACTCCGGACGGGCCGTTGTGTTTACGTTCTTACATGGGCCAAAACGTTCTCGCTTAGGAAGGCCGGGTTAGGGGTATTATCGTAATAAAGATGAAATCACGAGTACATTCTAATTTCTCAAGACGACGGCAATATATTTAGTTTCTGGCAACTTCGGGATCACTATGCGCAAAACACTTATAAATCTTGGTACACGGCGAGAACGCTGAGAATCAAGAAGAGGAAGTGACAGAAGTGGTTGTAAGCTGTGTTTTTTTTTTTTGTTAATTGTTGGAGCGTTTTGGATCTGATTTAGTGGGTAATTTTGGGGGGAGAATGGAGGATTTGAGATTGGCAATGGAGCAGCACATGGATCTAATGGCGGATCTGGTTCAGAAGATGTCTGGCGAGATTCGATCCGGTCTCCGACCTGCTTATGAGAACTTCATGGGTTTCTACCACGCAATCGATTGGAAGGTATGAATCATGGCGTTTTCACCTTCATCACTCCGCTTCTTCTTTTCTGTCTTCGGGGGGTTTCTCCCCTTCCTGTTTGTTTTTCGGGAAATTCGAATTAGACAGGGCAAGAATGTTTATGAGCTTTGGGATGTGATTATTGCACTGAGCGAGCCGGAGACATGATCCTAATATATGTGGTCTCACTCTCAGATAACGGATTTCCAAAATTTTCCATTTCCGGTGAATGGTCATGGAGGGTTCTGGATTCGCAGCTTCGTCGAGTGACTTTGACCCTTTTCTTTGTTTTCCTGAATTCGAGGAAGTTTCTTTGGCTATGGCTACTAGCCATTGGCCTTGCTAATATCAGTTCTAGAATCCAATTGTTTGTCTTAACCATTACATTCTAAGTGGTGTTTGATTGTTTACACATTAGCAAAAACCGTAACCATGGATTTGATATCATATATTCGAATCTCAAGTCCTCAGAAATGCCCTTGAGTTTAGATCTTAATATCCAGATTTTCCTCAGATGGGTTTCTGCTTTCTTTAGCGTTTCTTTTCATTTCTTTGCACTTTCATTCTTCAGACATTTTGGACGTAATCTCTGTCTGTTTGCAAATCTTGCAGGAACCTTGGATTATGGGGTTACTGGCTTTTCACGTTGTGTTGCTACTCGTAACTCTTCTCTCTAGAAAGCATCTCAACTTCCATATGTGCTTGTTCTTATTGGCATGTAAGTTAGCTCGATAGCTCGTACCGTTGCTTTTCTCGCTTTAGTTTAACTACACAAGACCTAGACTTTACTTCTGGTAGCACATCAGAAATCAGGTCTAGGGTTCAAATTTTCAATGGACTGCGAAATAATATTCATTGAGGCCAATGTCCTTGGCGCACCGGTTAAGGAATTGCCGTTGTGTACTAGACTGCCCTTTAATGGTTGAATCCTGTGGAGTTACTCACTGGCGTCTTTACTTGTTGTATTGCAAAAGATAGATAACCAGTGTTTCAAGGGTAATGCTGTTGTGAATTTTATCCGAAGACAATCTTCTTGTTCTACTTGGAGATTACACGATTTAGGCAACAAAACTTCCGGACCCAATACGGATATGTTAAAAAAAAACTGACATCCATTGTTTTATTTTTCTGAATGGTCAGTCAAACCCGTGAAGTTAATCACTATATAAACTTGTAGGATTACACTGGTTCTGGAAAGATCTCTAGAATATTGGAGTTTATTCAGGATTACTCAATGTTGCTTTTATCTGAAGGAGGCTTCTGAGAAAATGGCATTATTGAGATTTTGATAATGTGACAATGTTTGCAGTGGCTGGAGTATATTTCGCCGAGGGCCTCAATGGGTTCTTGGGCAAGAACTGGAAGAGCTTTTCAACTCAGAACTACTTCGATCCACATGGAGTCTTCCTCTCGGTTCTCTGGTCAGGACCCCTTCTCGTCCTCGCCATGATCATCTTGGTATGTATTAATTACTATAAATACATCACGTTTTTCATCAACCCCCTTGATTTGGCATGCTATAAACCCGTGTTTTTCGACAGATAAACACGCTCTTTTCGCTTTGCTACCTCATTGTGAAGTGGAAAAGAGCCGAGCTCAGGCACCGTGCAAGGCTTGCAAGTACCAAGCAGGATTAGATCGGTGCTTCTATCACTCTTTTGTTACTGACAAGACCCATTTTCACAGTATCTGTAAACAACATGTCTTGTGTTTCGTGAAGGTAGTGGATGTCTTGTAACAAGTTGAAATGTGGCCCTTTCCTTTGAGGGAGTTTTGTTTTTGGTGTTCCAGCCTTGCCTGGGTAATGAATGCTCTCTTATAAGCTATGCATTTGATGGTAAAAAAATCGTAAAGTATAGATTCTGTTAACATGTATTTTGCTCAAAAGCCTAATTGCCATGGTAAATTGCTTGTAGGTTAACGTGGATTCGATTTATTGATTGATAAATCAATAATTTTGATCCGATTTATTGTTCTTACGTTTATATTAGGTGGATTTTACAGTTTTAGAGAAAGTATATCTATTTCGAATTTTATTTGGATTTGATTTTTTTTTCAAAGACAAATGTTCATTTTTAAAATTTTTTTAAATGTTTGATTTAGATATTACACTCATTTTAGAAGGAAAAAAAACCTAAACAACTCACTGATTTTGGAAACTCGAGATGTTGTAGCCTAAGAAATAGCCGTTACAAATAGTGAGTTCATCCTACACTCAACGGTCCCCTTTTCAAAATCAAATTTAATTTAAAACCACAAAAAAAAAAAGTGAAGACAACGTTTGAGACGGAGTATAAAAGTCCCTTCATGTTTCTTCTTCTCACCTTCTTTTCAAAAACCCGAACTGAAGAAAAAAAAAAACTTTCTCCCATGGAGGCGGTGAAGGAAGAGAAAGCGATGGATCAGGGAGAAGAGCGGATGGTTCCGGTGTTCACGGTGCTGAAAAACGGCGCGATTCTCAAGAACATCTTCGTCGTCAACAGTTCCGATTCTCCCTCGCCGGAGAGAAACGGCGGCGATGATCACGAATTGGAGGAGATTCTGATCGTTGGTCGGCATCCGGACTGCAACATCATGCTCACGCACCCGAGCATTAGCAGATTCCACCTCGAAATCCGTTCGATTCCGTCTCGACAGAAGCTATCCGTCACGGACTTGTCGTCTGGTAAGAATCATCTCTAGGTCATTTCGCATTCTAGGGCGTTTCGCTATTTCTGTTTCGATTCTTTGATTTTGCGAGGGATTTAGCATCGGTGTGTATGCTATTGTTTCTGGTGGGTTGGCCCATTGTTTTCACGTTATTTATGGATGGAAATGGATTCCGGCCTATGTGTTTTAGTTGTTGATCGGAGTTGTTGAATGGTGTAGTGCATGGAACTTGGGTTTCGGATCAGAAAATTGAGGCAGGTACTTGTGTGGAGGTGAAAGAAGGTGACACGATAAGGATTGGTGGTTCAACCAGAATCTATAGGCTGCACTGGATTCCTCTCAGGCGTGCTTATGATATGGACAATCAATTTGTTTCCCCACTGGATATACATGCAGCGAAGGAGCAAGAGGAAGAGAACAGAGTGCTCAATGCGGAAAATGTGGAGGTCTCGGATGAGGTTAAGCCTTCTCTTTTTGTTTCTTTCGTCAGCAGGAGAACCCCTAAGAACTTTCATCATGTGCTTCATATATTGTTCTTGCTATGGCTATTGTTTATTCATTTTTTGCTGCTGTTGCTTCTCTCTCTGTCTGGAATGGTTGCAAGTAGCTTGAATCTTTGTCTCAGTTGAGAAAACAAATTATTGTTCAAGCCGTGAGAAATGGATTAACTGGCAATTGCATGTTTCTGGTGTAATTTATTATTTATAGGGTGCTAAACAGATTGGGATCAACTGTTGGCACCCTACATGTTAAAAATTCAGTTGTTGTTCTTCTTTGTTGATACATAGTGTCTTGCTTTCTTGTGTCTGTGGAGCCTCTATATGCAGGATAGAGTAGTTCTCTCAGGTCAGTAGTTGGTTTTAGGTGCTTCTCCTGATACTGACATCGTTTATCCTCTCTGGTTTGCCACATTTTACAGGACTGGAAGTTAGTGCTAGGTGAAGATGAAGCTCCGCAACAGGATTGGACCTCAGACGGAACTGGTTCCTCTATCCCTAGTAAGGATCCCGAGTCAATTGTGAAGGAGACTTCATCACTTCCACTTGTAGCTCCAAGTGAGTCGTCACTTGTTAGAGATTCCTCAAAGATGCGAGAGCAGCTGCTCCCTGAAGATGCACAGGATCCGCCAGATTTTGTCAGAGATATCCTACAAGTTGAAGCAGAAATTTCTAAATATGCTGATAATGAGAGCCTTCACCAAGAAGATAACGGAGAAACTGAGGTGGTCTCAAGACAAGTCATGGATGTATCCTCCGGCTTCTTTTCTGAAACTGAACAAATCAAACCTAAAGACAACCGAGGCCCAGTCTTGGGTTGGCAGCCGCTGTCTGAGATCCAAAGTGAATTGGTTAATGAGGTTGACAATCAAAGCCCTTGTTATGAAGACAACAGGGAATATGAGGTTGTGTCAAAACAAGTCATGGCAGTATCTGCCCCATCCTTCACTGCTACTGAACCCTTTTCAGAAACCAAAACAGAAGTCATCCAAAACCAGTTCTTGAGTTGGCAACCGTGGTCTGAGATCCAGAGTGAACTGGCACCAGTGGATGAGAATCAGAGCCTTAACGAAGAAGGTGATGGAGAAATTGATGTTGTCTCAAGGCAAGTCATGGCTATGTCTTCCAGTTCATTCCTTGAAACTAAAGCTCTTTTAGAAACCAAAAATGAAGAAACCGAGGGTCTGTCTTTGGGTTGGCAACCACTGCCTGAAATTCAGAGTGAATTGGCTGCACATGCTGATAACAAGTGCCTTAAAAAAGAAGACGATGTCGTCTCAGGGCAAGGTGTGGCAGCATACTCTTGTTCATTACCGAAAACCGAACCTATTTCAGAGACCAGATCTAAATACATCGAAGACCCGATCTTGAGTTGGCAGCCACTATCTCAGATCCAGAGTGAAGTAAAACCCACAGGAGATCAGAACCGAGAATCAGGAATGACTGGGGAAACTGAAGAACCATTGAAACCCAACAACTTGCTTCTGTCAAAGGGTCGTGAACAGAGTAAACCTGGGAGTTCCTTGTCAGCAACAAATCAAAACACAATCTTTCAACATCGTGAATCTGTTATGGACATTGCCTATGGAGGAGGATCTGAAGAAACTTACAATCTAAACGGGTTAGAGAGCCACCAAAATAATGAAAAGACAGGTTTTATTACTGCAACCTTGGCCGCAGAAGAATCTGCAAGATTTTTACAACCAGCGGAAGATATATTATCTCACATAACTAGAGGCAAAGAAAACCAGAGACTGCGATCACATGCTAGAGGTGTAATATCTAAGACAGAGAACTTGAGGAGTTCCCCACTAGAATCAGCAAAAAGATCAAGTGCATGCAACACTGGGTCTAGGAGAGGGCAATTTGCAGCTGTTCCTCTGACCCGAACCCAGAGCAGTCAAAGAAAGGTAAAAAGAACAGGTGGTAATTGCAAAGCTCATTTGCTGGCAAAAGAGGCTAAAAACAACAAATCCATCTCAACATCTCTTCATAAGGAGAATCTCACACCAAGCACCCATATTCAGATAAGGTTACAGGAGATTGGCAATATTGAGGAAAGCGAAAGCTCATCTTTTCATGCTGGGTCAGAGAAACTAGAACCAGAGATCTTTACACCTGACAAGGAGAATCTCACACCAAATACTCATATCATGAAAAGGTTACAGGAGATTGGCGATATCAAGGAAAGCAAAAGCTCATCCCTTCATGCTGGTTCAGAGAAACAAGAATCAGAAATCTTTACACCTGACAAGGAGAATCTCACATCAAATGCTTATGCTCTGAAAACATTACAGGAGATTGGAGATCCCAAGGAAAGCAAAAGCTCCTTAAAGGCCACGAGCAGACCAGCATCATTAAAGATTCCTTTCAGCAACAGACACACTGCTTCAGAAGCAGTACTAGAACCTGAGATCTTTACCCCAGATAAGGAGAATCTTACCCCAAACTCTCTTATGCTAAAACGACTGCAAGAGGTTGGTAAGCTTCAAGGAAACAAGGATTCCCCAAAGTCTAGGCGTAAACCGTTCTCGTCCAAGGTTTTTTTCAGCCCTGACATTCATTCGGAAGAAAACATAGTTCCTGAGGAGAAAAAAAATCAAAGTACATTCAGCATCACAAGGAGCCAAACAGAGTTGAAACATGAGCAAGTGCTGTCAAAGAGAAAACCTGAAAGGGTTCCCTTTCAAACTTTACTTGAAAATTCTTCTGCTGAAACCAAGCGGCAAGCTGAATCTTCAAATGCAGCTGCGAGAAACTTCAACATTGGTGCCGCTCGTCCTTATTCCGTGAGTAAAAGATTACTTTTCATCATCATTCTATTGCTTACGGTCTTTGCTTGTCATTCTCTCTGAGTAGTACTTATCTAACCATAAGTTCGCTATGTTAGATTCTCTCTAACGGACATAGCAAGATGAAGTGGACAATTGTCGTGGATATTTCTTCGTTCCTAGACAGGGGATCAAGGAAGTCACTACAACTGCTACAAGGTCTCAAGGGGACACAACTGGTCATACCCAGAACAGGTAATTCTACAAATCATACACCGACCATGCCTTGCCTATCTATCACTCACTAATCAGTTACTATCTCGCTTGGAACTGTAAAGATATAGGTTTTAAGAAAGCAAAAAAAAAAAAAAAGAAAGAAAGTAAATGTTGTTTTCTTACTTACAACCTACAGATGAATCACTCTATTTATACAGAATTTGGAAGAAATTCTATAATGTGATGATCGCTTGTATTTGATCTTGTTCTCTTGTTTTGATCCTATCTAAATTGTTGGAAAACTGGACTGCATGTCAGTGTCCTCCTACACGGTCATACCATACAGCTCTTTTAACCAGAGTTTGTCACGACCAGTTCTATGACACACACCTCTTTATAAACTGCTACGATGCTGTATGTCAATGACAATCCTAGCTTATTATGGTTTGATGGTATCCCAAATCAGTTCTATAATATACTCGGACTATATTGCCTTGGACTTCTTTTTTTTTTTTATCGCTTTCGGGATTACTTTTGAAAGAAACTTTCAACGACTTGAGCTATTTTCTTTGATCCTTGTTCAGTGGTAAGGGAACTAGAGGAGCAGAATCGTTCTCGCAGTCTGTTCTTCAGAAGTAACAAAAAGGCTGTTTCTTCCGCCATTGAATGGATCCAAGAATGTATGGTTAAAACCAAGTGGTGGGTTCATCTCCAGAGCTCATCTGAAGAAACTGGACCGATGGCACCGACCCCACCTGCCTCCGCATTTCCATATCTGCTGCATCGGGCTGAGCCAGAGATTGTTTCCCCTACATCAGAAGACAATGTTCTTGAATGCGCCCTTCTGTACAGGAAGATCAACAGCGACGGACAATTCGTCCTTCTCAGCAATGACGTAACTCTCAAGATCAAAGCCATGGCTGAGGTATATAACAACCATCTACTACATATTCCCCCCTTAAAATTATTGCAAAACATGGTCAGTAGTAGCTAACATATTTATACAAACATGTTTTAATTCCACGTATGTTCTAAATGATTCATTTAGTAGATCAACTTAGCCTGCCTTGTTAATGAAACATTTACTCTAGGAAATTTAGCATAGAGCATGGTGAGAGGTTTGTTTGTTATTAACATGTTTGTACCGTTCTATTTACTTGAAATTTTCACTAACCCCCCCCCCCCCAATTCAAACAGGGGGTAAG